GTTATCAGGGGTCAAATTCTGTTCTCTGCTTCTGAAAAAAGCTGTCAGGGTGGGGCTGGAGATGCGTCGCCGCAGCAGAAAGCTGGGTTGCGTGTGGGTGTTTGGGATCGTGCACGTCTGGAGCAGCCTCGGCTCTTTACCCTTGCCAATCTGCAGCTACGTCCTGGCCTCTGCCAGCAGCCAGACAGAAGCCACAGGCCCTCCCGTGACTGTGATGCCGTGGAGGTTCCCTGCAACAGGCAGCCACCTGGTGGGTGTATGGCCTTCCTTTTGGGGAGCAGGTTGCCCTCTAAGGATGCTGGTGATCCACCTCTGGATGTACACACACCGTCAGTAGGCTGTTCACGTATAACCCTCTTTGCCCCGGCAAGTAGCCCTTGGTGCAGGGATTTGCTCTGCAGTCTGACCTCTGGTCCCAGGAGTTAAACTGGTATCCCCACCAGGTGAGATTTCCGGTCCCAATTCACCACAGGAGCCCAAGCTGAGGTCTATGTCTCTCGCCTCTGAGTCAGGCACCGTTCTCTTGGAACACCCTGCCAGCAGCACCTGGAGAGAAGCTGGCGGCTTAGGGAGCTCACAGTCTGAGTTCCCCTGTATCAGATGTAGGGTCCCAAAAGGGAAGGTTCCATTCCCTGGAGGTGCCTCTGGCTGGTGGCTGTATTGTCTCTCTGGTCAGCCACGGGTAGGGTCAGCAGAGGGGCGAAGGAGGCAATATGGCGCCTGCTGCGCGGCTCGGGTCTGTGCACACAGAGGTGCCCAGATGAAGTTGGGAACCTGGTGCCACGTCTGCTACAGGCTCACCGATGGCTGGCGGCAGCCGTCTCGGGGCTGGTGTCCGCAGGTCTCTCCACCAGCTGGGGAGCTCACCAGCAGTCCCAAATGCAGGGGAGGGGAAACATCAAATCCATCTACCCTTGCCTCTGGTCTCCAGGCTGCTCCAGTGGTCTCAGTCTCCAGTTCTCCTCCACAGCCTCCTCCTGTGGAGTCTCCCGGGGTCTCAGGAACCCCTCCTTCCGGCCCTCGTCCTCTGTATGGTCGTCTTCTTGCTTCTTTTTTCTAATTTCTGCTAGAATCTGTCTTTTCTGCAGAGACACTCTGTCTGGAGGTGTTTCTCGTCCGCCATCTTGCTCCACTCCCCAAGTCTCCAACTCTTATGGTGTTGTTGTTTATTCATTTGTTTAGATCAAGTAGAGTTTGATTTATGAATCTGAGTGCACCAAGGTTGGGTGTATATAGATTTATAATTGTTATGTCTTCTTGTTGAACTGTACCCTTCACCATTATATAGTGATCTTCTTTGTCTTTTATTACTTTTGTTGATTCAAAAACTAAGTTATCTGTAATCAGCACCACCACACCAGCTTTCTTTTGGCTTCCATTTCCTTGAAATATTGTTCTTCACCCCTTTACTTTTAGTCTAATTGCATCCTTGCAGTTTAGATGTGTTTCCTGAAGGCAGCAGATACTTGGCTTGTGTTTTTTATCCATTGGGCCAGCCTATGTCTCTTGAGTGGGGAGTTCAAGCCATTCACATTTATTGAGATAACTGATAGGTGGGACAGATTTCTGTTCATTATATTGGGTTGAACTTTGTTGTTTTGTTTTCTCTTTTGAGCCATTGTAGTGTCTGGGCTTTTATCTTTTGCTTTGAGTAGATTTACATTCACGAGTGTTTATTGTGGTGATCCGTGGGTAACACTGTTTTGAATACTTCTTGAAGGGCTGGTCTGTCTTGGTGAATTCCCTCAGTCTTTGCTTATCTGAGAATGTCTTGATTTCTCCTTCATATATGAAACTTAGTTTTGTAGGGAATAAGATTCTAGGCTGGGCATTGTTCTGTTTCAGAAGAGTGAGAATGGGGCCCCAGTCTCTCCTTGCTTATAAAGTCTCAGTAGAGAAGTCTGGTGTTATTCAAATTGGCTTTCCCTTTTATGTTACTTTATTCTTTCATCTTACAGCTCTTAGAAGGACCTCTTTAGTTGATATTTTGGTCAGTCTGATGACTGCATGACGTTGTGACGTCTTCCTGATTGCATGAAATCTCCCAGGGGTCCTCTGAGCTTCTTGAACTTGTATATCGAGATTTTTAGCAAGACCTGGGAATTTCTATTATATCTTCAAATAGCTTGTCCAACCTTGAGTTTTGTCTTCTTCTCCTTCTGGTAACCTATGACCCTCACATTAGGTTCTTCACATAATCTCACATCTCTTGTAGGCTTTGCTCTTTTTTCTTGTTTCTCTGCTCTATCTCTGTGACTGATTTATTTAATTGGAAGGTGTTATCTTCAATCTCTAAGATCTTTCTTCTGTTGATCTACCCTGTCTTGAGTTTCACTGAATTTTGTAGTTCTCTGAATTGATTCTTAATTTCCAGGAGTTCGGTTAAACTTTTCTTCATTGTATCGATTTCTTTAGTGAACTTTTGCAAGTCCTGGAGGCTTTCTGTGGTTTCTTTTTGTTGGTTATTGAGTTGTTCTTGCAGGTCATTGAATTTTCTTATGATCCACATTCGGAATTCCTCTTCTGTCATTTTGGTTGCCTGATTTTTGTCGTGTCCATTCTAAGGGCTGGTGCTCTCTTTGGGGTGTGTTTTCCATTTGGTTCTTCATATTTCTGGAGTTCCTTCACTGATTTCTAACCATGTCGATCAGTTGTGGCTCCTTTTCCATAGGTTTTTGTTTGGGTATTCACAGGCCTTGATTATTTTCTGAGCCAGTAGGTGGTGTCTGTGGGTGAGATTCGACCACTCCCTGTATAATGAGTCAGTAGGTACCGTGAAAAGGGTTTGCAGGATGTCCTCCCTGTCAGTAGGTGGTGCTTGCTTGGAGGAACAGGCTATGCTGTTGTTTTTGTGTCCTGTAACCAGCTCTTGTTCCTGTAGAGAGGCACTCTAGTGCCTGAGGTGGTCGGTGGGGCCCTGGAACTTCCAGGTGTGTCCTTTTCTCCCCCTCAGTTAGGGCTGGTCTAAGAGAGAGTCTGGGCGGAGCTGGGTTGGGTAAGCCTGCCTTCAGGCACCACCCAGTGTTGTTAGCAGGGGTCAGAGTTCTGCTCCCTGCTTCTGGGAAAACCTGCCAAGGAGGGGCTGGAATGGCCCTGCTCAGTCAGAAAGTCTGCATGTGGGGGCGGGGCTGTCTGAGACCTGCAGTCTGATATAGGCCTTGCTTCTTTCCACCCTTCCCAATTCTACGGCTACTTCTGGGCCTCTGCCAGTAGGCCAGACCTCATGCCACCGGGCCTCCCCTGGCTGTGATGCCAGCTTGGATGTTCCCTGCTCAGGTACGCCACCTGGGCTGGGTGCATGGCCTCCCTTTGGGAGGAGGGTTGTCCTGTAGGATGCTGATCTGCCCCTGAAGGCACACACACCTCAGTAGGCTGTTGGCATATATCCCTTCTGTGTCCCGGGCAATGCGAGACCTCGGTGCACAGGATCTGGTCTGCAGGTCTGACCTCTGGGTCCCAGAGTTCAAACTATATCCCCACCAGGGAGAGAAGTGCCAGTCCCAATTCACCCATGGGGAGCCCAAGCTGGGTCTATGTCTCTCAGCCTCAGGGTCTGCCCCGCTCTCCTGGAATCATTTGGCCAGCAGCACCTGGGAGGGCTGGTGGGTAGGGAGCTCACCATCTGAGTTCCCCTCAGTCAGCTATAGGGCCCCAAAAAGGAAGGTCCCATTCCCTGGAGGTGCCTCCGGCTGGTGGCTGTATTGTCTCTCTCGGTAGCTGAGGATAGGGTCGGGGGAGGTGAGAAGGAGGCAATATGGCGCCTGCCACGTGGCTCGGATCTGTGCACACGGAGGTGCCCTGAGGGAGTTGGGAGCTTGGTGCCGCATCCACTACAGGCTTACCACTCACTAGCGGTGGCCGTCTCTGGGCTGGTGTCCGAATGTCTCTCCACCCACTGCGGAGCCCACCAGCAGTCTGAGATGCAAGAGAGGGGAGAGTTAACTACTCCACCTATCCTTGCCACTGGCTGCTCCAGAGGTCTCTGCTTCCAATTCTCCTCGCAACCTCCTCCCGTGGAGTCTCCCGTGGTCTCAGGTATCCTTCCTTCTGACCCTCGTCTGATGTATGCTCATCGTTTTGCTTCTTTCTTCTAATGGCTGCTAGAGACACTTCTTCTAATTGCTGCTAGAGAATATATCTTTTCTGCAGAGACACTCTGTCTGGTGTTGTTTCTTGTCTGCCATCTTGATTATCTCCTGAAAATCTTAATTATTATAAAATGACAAGTTATAAAAGTAAAGAATTGCTTACTTTTTTCACTTCTTATATGCTTTTGGGTTACAGTTGACAAATCTTCAAATAAAATGTGTCATGTGCCAACATGGTTTTGCTACACATGGCTAGTACTAAGCTTATACCACATGTGACTCTCCCAGCAAGTTCAGCAACACCTAGGTGATCTATCCTGTTCAATTTATCGCACTCCTGACGCTGTGTCAGTGTGGATTGCCATGAGAGTTTCTAAACACTCCTGGTTCCTAAGCTCATCTCACTGTGGACTAGCAGCAGGTCTTTTTTGACCTATACAGCTCAGCACCCACCCCCAGCTGGGATGGTCTCCATGTGCAGCTGCAGAACCTGGTGTTTGGCTGGCAGCGGCTCAGGGTCTCCGTTGGAGTTGACAGGGCTCTTTGTGTGAGAAACAGAGTGCTACTCTTGGGACAGAGAAAGTCCTTTCTACTTTTTCAGAATTATGATGCCGCTGCAGGTTCTCCCTTTGGATAACAGATAAGTGAATATGAGGGCAAATGTGTTATTTATTTTTTTAGATTGTTTCTTATTATAGATGACTGCTTACTGCTTTTACCTGAAAACCTATTAAAACAAGTCTTTCTTAGCCATGTAACTAAAAATGTTATATTTACTTGTAGCTGAAAATGAGTCCTTTCCAGTAAAAGCTCTTTTACTAGAAAGAGATATGGAATACTCATTTGGCAATACACAAGTTTGTGTTTTTCCCTCTACATGGATAATGCAAAATTATTGTCCTCTTATTGCAGTTTGACATTATGAATATAGCAACCCAAATGAGAGAGCAGCGTCCTGGCATGATTCAAACACAGGTAAGCTTTCACGATATGAATTCTGACGAGAGTAGTGAATACAAAGATTAGCGTTACATAGCACTGTACAATTTATAGAGCATTTTCACCTATATGAGCTCACTGAATTCTTGCTGTATGAGTTAGACGTAGTTTTGCTCTGAAATTCCTGACAATGCATAAGTTCAGTGCAATGAGGTCGGCTCCACAGGTCACTCAGACAGCAAGGGGAGGAGCCAAGACTCAAACTGAGGTCTTCTGATGCCTGTGCACAAGCCTTGCCCATAATGCCATGGTACTTAAGTAACATCTAAAGTTAGTTCTAATAAATTTTTGGATAGCAATTCGAAATATTTAGTTGCCACTGACAAGATTATTGGCATGTAATAAAAATATATTTATGTCATAGATTAGTTATTAATTAATCATTGGAAGAGGGTGTCTAGAGAGTATGGATAATGAAAACAGTTACACCTAAATCTTTACACTGTCTTATTCTTAGGTCAATCTCATGAAGCATTTTATTTGAACTAGTATGGCTTGAGTGAGTTGAGGCTAGATCTTTACGTATACATATGGTTTGAAATGTCAAAATTAATATAAGGGACTTTTTAATTTGATTTATCCTGGGGGAAGATATAAAGAAGTTGAGATTGATAGTTTTCCCTAAGTTTAGTTAAGCCTTTAGGGAATTAGTTCTAGACCAAAAACTATATTATGATCATTTATCTTCCTTGTATTTAAAAATGTGTATTGTCATAAGGAAGTTATTTAAGTGTTTGTAGTTAACTGTTTGTTCCCTTTAGGAACCTCTCAGTGTGGTTGAAAATTACAAATGTGTTCTCTGTGGATAGTGATATTCAATTACTTAACATTCTGTTGTTTTCATATATGTGTTATAGGAGCAGTATCACTTTTGTTATGAAATCGTGCTTAAAGTTCTTCAGAAACTTCTGACTTTGGACTAAGAAAGCCTTCTGCTGCTTCTCACTTGAAATTACCCCGTGGCTTTGAGCCTCTTCATAAAGAATGGGTTGGAGCTGTGCTGAAGGGCTTTGTTATGCATACAGTCTGCTTTCTTGGCGTAAAAACTCCCTGGAGGCAGCATCATTTGGTTTGGGGTGAGCAATGTTTACTCATTCATCTTATTAGACAATATCAAAATACCCTCCCATGTTTTCCAGTGAAGCAAAAGCTACATAAAGCAACTGCAGTTTTGCTGTTTGGTTGAAGGGATTACAGAGCCCAATAAAGGACTGAAACTATGTTCATTAAGATTTTATTTGGAAAGGCAAAGAGTCCAGTTAGAATGTATTAACTTTCAACACAAACTGGCGTCGGTTTTCCGGTTTTCCTCTCCCTCACACTCCTGCGGGGCGGAGACCTCGGAGGACCTGCCTTCCTTCCTAGAGCAGCAAGGCTAGGAAGAGCCGGTCTGGGAGGCATCGCAGGGGTGGGCAGGGCTCCTCCTCTGCATCACATGAGCACACTGGCAACAGCCCAAAACTAAAATAGATGTTGATATAGAAAGTCCGAGAGGAAATTTTTGCCTAGCCTGAGTTTTTCCTAACCCACCCTAACACTTAACATATTACTCAGTTTGCTTTGTTAAAAGCAAATATTACACTTTACTTGCCTCTTACTCTTTGCCTTTTAGCTAACCAATAAACTTTGATATAAACATTATTATGTAATTCTGAGTCATTTATGTCTTTCATTCCTGATCTATTGTTAAAACTAAGATCTGTGATAGGTTTTTTGGGTTTTTTTCAGAGTTCCATTAAATCATTTCTTTCCATTACTGCCCCACCTCTGGCTGAAACATTTAGAAATTGGATTTGGGAACCAGATTTTGGAAAACCAGATTCATAGTTTTGAAAATGGAAACTTCCATACTCTGTTTTTGAAAAGACTGTGGCCATTATTACATTCATTTTATTATAGGACTTTGCCTTGTATGATTATAGCAATATTGTGGTTAAGGAGTGTGGTGACCAGTTATACCTGATTGTAAGCTACAAAGAATTGGCATGTGTGTTTGTACAGTGTAATTCTGTGGAGATCAGACTATGCTATGTGTTATGTTGAGGAAATGTTTAAGATTAATTTATAAATTCTAAATTTTTAAGAGATTTATTGTGTTTCTTTGCCTAAATGAATATATTTGAATTGGTTGAATTAAAATTGATAATTCTTAATTTTAAAATGATTATATGCCAGAAATATATTTGATATTAAATAGATTATTCTATTTATATTATTAAAATAAATAATATTCTGTACTAAACATTAATTTTATTTTAATGATGAGCCTTTAATATTTGTATCACTAATTTTATTTTCTCTCTGTTACTATAAAAATAGGTATAATGTATAACAATATTCCTAAGAAAGATTCTATGCTATTATCTAAAATAAAATATTTACTATGTATTACCTAAAGTATTTTTATGTATCTGGACCTTGAAATGTTCTTGTAAAGAAAAATTTCACCATTCTTGATGTTAAACATGTCCCTTCTTTAATGTGTACCTCGTATTTTTATAGCTGGATTAATTTTTAGTTTTTCAGGGAAATTAAGCGAATGTGGAAATACTGATTGCATTTGTTTTCACTTTATTCTTAGAAGGTGAATTACAAACTGAAAACCTTTGATTATTTAAAATACTAACTTTTATACCAATAATGAAACAATTTCTGCCTAAGATATATGAAATTCTCATTGACACTTGTGAATATATGAATGCTAAAGGAAGTTTTAAAATGTTTAAATATAAACATATATACATTTATTAATTTTCAACTTTAAATACATATTTTTAAAGTTTTGTGTTCTTAATGCTTACATGTTAAACCAAAGCTTTTCAGAAATAACCTTATAGATTTTATTCTCATATTAAACTTAGTAATTTACTTTTCTTTGGACTTTTCACCTGAATTTCCATAGAATGTTATTGAATTTTAAATTAAATTTACCTTTGGTACTCAAAGGTCATTTCACTGATTTGTTTTTACTAAAAAACCACAAAGGAAAACACCTTGAACAACTCTAAAACAAAAAAGGTTTTTTTCCTACTTAATTTTTTCTAATCCCTGGGAAGAATTAGTTTTCTTCTTTGTTGTCATGAAGTTTGAGTAATTGAACCAGAAGATTTGGAAAGTCTCCATGAAGTGAAAACAGGTCCCTGGTATTCAGGGGTGACGGAGTGCTCCATGGAGCACTCATTTGTCCATAGCCACCATCAAAAACCAGAGATTACCTCATAGTGAAACAGTTTGAATTAGAAGGATCTTAAAAGATAGCTAATACAACATCATATCTGAAACTTGCACATGATAAAGAACATTTTTAAGGAACAAACAGCATCACATTTGAAGGTGAAAAAACATAGCCTTTTTATTTAAAAAAACACTACAGCTGATTGCTCCAGGCTATCTAGCCAAAGCAATAAGACTACACAAGAATAATTGTTGCAAATATTGGAAAACTAGAAGGAAATGATCTTTTGTTTATATATTTGCTCACATAGAAATAATAGACTTGACTGAAAAATAATATTAGGAAATTCATTATGAAGTTAGGATACCAGATAACTATGTAAAAATTAATCATTCTTTATATCTATTAATCTCTCCTTATAGTCAGCAAACTATTGCTTGCTGGCCAGCTCTGATCTGTTGCCTATTTTTGTAAATGAAGTTTCATGCCCACTTGTTTACATGTTGTCTGTGGCTGTCATTGTGCCATCATGACAACGGCTGAGTTAATAGTATTGGTAGAAACCATGTGGCTAATAAAGCCTAAAGAATTTGCCCCCTGGCCCTTTAGAGAAAAAGTTGTCAACCACTGTTCTATGTGTTCAATAGGAAGAATATTTCTGAGCAACAGGGATATATGAAATAAATATGTTATAAAATATATGCAATACTTAACAAGAACTTGACCAGTTGATGCTCTCATTCTAAATGAACAGTAAATACATGAAAAGAGCCAAGATATTGGTGAAAAAGGAAAGCTACCTGGGGGGAACGGAGAGGATTTGCCTTAGCAATGATCAGAAAATCTTGTCTAAAGTCAAAGTAATTGAAACAGCAAGATGCTGGTGCAGGGGTACATAGATCAGATAATTACAGACTCATTTATATTTGTGAATTTATTATATGCTAAAGATAGCATTTCAAATCCAGAGCTTCAAAATACATGAAGCAAAAACTGATAGGTCTGATAAAACTGGGAAGATAGATAAATCTATAATTACAGTTGGAGATTTCAGCATTTGCCTCTTAGTAATTCATAGAAAATTAGACAGAAAACCACTAAGGATATAAAACAAGGGTCCTCAAACTTATTAAACAGGGGGCCAGTTCACTGTCCCTCACACCATTGGAGGGCCGGACTATAGTTTAAAAACACTATGAACAAATTCCTATGCACACTGCACATATCTTATTTTGACGTAAAAAAATAAACGGGCAAAAACACCCCCATGTGGCTCGTGGGCTGTAGTTTGAGGACGCCTGATATAAAAGATTTGAATAACACTATTAACCAGCTTGGCCTAATTGATATTTATAGAACACTGCATCAGACTACAACAGAACCATATTCTTTTCAAGTGCACATGGAACATTTACCAAAAAGACTATATTTTTGGTCATAAAATGTCTCAATATAATTCAAAAGAATGGAACTATATACAGTATGTTTATGGAATTAACTGGAAATCAATATCATAGAGATATTTCAAAAATTCTAAAATATTTGGAAATTAAACAATGTACTTTTAAATAACCCATGGGTCAAAGAAAAAAATCACAATAGAAGTTAGAAAATATTTTTAACTAATTTGAGAATTAAAACACAATTTAACTTGTGAGATGTAATGACAAAGTTTGGGGGGAAAGTCACGCGCTTGGTTTGGGCCATGCTAAATTTGTTATACCTATAGGACATCCAAATGGCTTTACAAGTTTGATGTTAAAAATGATGTCTGAGCCGAAAACTCAGATCTGGATAACGTTTTCCTTGAAGATGATGTTGGAAGGCGTGAGAATGGCCGAGCCCCCAGAGAAAGTGAGAGGGAGGCCAAGGGCAGAGCCTGGGGAGCGCCAGCATTCCTTCCCACTCTGACCACTCTTCATGCCCGGCCTAGGCCCCACCTCTTCCATGAAGCCGCCTGACACTGCCCTCCCCTCCTCTGACTCCTTCGGCAGCGCTCCTCAAACTCTGTGCTGAAGGACCCATTTTATTTACACACGGATGGACCTGATCACTGCCCAAAGAGCCAGCAGGTTGTTGCTGGAAGTGTGGTGGGCTACGCTGAGGACAGCAGGTATTGCTCACTTCCACAGTGGACAAGAGCACGGAGCACAGGACAGCGTCAGTCTAGTTCTTACCTCCTCTAAACACAGACCACCCGAGGCTCCTTCCACACACTGAGGAGGAAGCTTAGAAGCAAACGTGGGTAGAGTAGAGAGAATATGGCAGAAGAGAAGAGAAGGTCCCCATGAAAGTGAGTGGGAGGTACAGAGTGGAAGACGTCAGAATAGCTCAGTGAGGTGACAAGAGCCGTCTGGACAAGCCACCTAGAAGTTCAGGGAAACTAAACTCACATAGAAATGAGCAATAGAAAAGTATCATCATCAAATCTCATACAAGCTACCATAATGAACAAAAGGCTAAGGAATTAAATGGTAGGCCTACAGACAACCAAGGTACATCAGAAAAATATACTCAAAAACAGATCAGAAAAATAATCCTCTACTATTATATTCAAAATGAGTTTAAAGACATTAGGAAAATTACCCGAGACACAGAGGATTAGAAAAATTCAAAATGAGATGACAAATCAAGGAATTAGAAACAAAAATTTTAGAAAAAAGACTAAACTAGGATGAACACAAGTAACTACATTTGATAACTGATACTTTACAAGAAATAGAAAACTTAGGAAGAATAATTTCAAAACAAAATGGAGAAAGAAAACAGGATTTGAGAGCATTAACAAGTGTCAATGGTAGGCAAAGAAGACAGCATATAGATAATAGAAGTTTTAAAGAAAAAAACCAAAGCAAGAGTTCACAACAAATTCAATATTTCTAGACGTATTTTGAATAATAATTTAAAGGAAATATTTCTGACATAAAACAACTTAAAATTACATATTGAGATATCACAGCACGTACTTGAGAATATCCAATGAGTATGATCAATACCAAGGAATTTTTTAGTAAAATTACTGAAGTTTGATGTAAAAGAAAAAAATCCCCTGGGCATCTACACATAAAGAATATGAAGAAAAGAAAATTAGATTATCATCAGGAGTTTTTTCTTTTACAGTAATGCTTTATGACAAAATAAAATGAAATAATATACCTAAGGTTTCCAAAGAAAGATTTTATAAGCCAAAGATTTTATGTCTAGAAAAACTGAACTTGACGGACAAAGGGTGCAAACTGATATCAACATGTAAGAACTTGGGGAATATTGTTTCCATGAGCCCTTTCTCTGGACAGCTCAATAGATATAGAAAAAAATTCTAATCAAATTTGAAATCCATTCTTTATTTTATAAAAGAAAAGTCTTAGCAAGCTAGGAATAGAAAGGAATTGCTAGAGGATGTCTACAGCAAACTTACGACAGACGTGCATTTCATGGTAAAACACTATTTCTCTCCTACAACTCA